AAAAATTGACAAAATTGTTTTTTTTTTTTTTTTTTTTGGCATGTTATAATTTAAAGTCACTCCCGCCTAAAAACTACAACTTAATTATTATTGGCCATAAAAAAATAATTAAGTCAGTGCAGAGTTACCTTCGTTGCTAAGTTAGGTGATAATGAAAGATAACTTTAAATTTCTTGGTTTTTCTTTGCGTAATTGTGAATAGTTTCCCTTGAACTACCCGGTTATTATCGATCGCTCGGTCTCGCACGCGCATCGTCGCGCTCACAGTTCGTCGCTTCGCGGAGAACTCGTGGCCTCGATTTGAGTCAGCATCTCCTCATTTCCGCCATCGCGATTGATTGGCATATTATGATACTAGATTTACCGAAGGAAAATGGCTGTTGGTGATCTAGAATGAAAAATGTGGCCGAACTTGTGTGTATTTCGGAGATATTTGCCTTTGTGCAGTCCACGAGTTAGTGGATAAAACAAAACGCCGACGAGAAACAAGAACCGTCGGGCGAGAGCCGGTCGGCCTCAGGCGTTGCTCCAAAGAATGGCCGATAACGGGGGTCGTAGTGATAGCCCCAGTAGCACTGCGCCCGACGATGACGACTCTCAGCAGGGACATGGGCATTTTTTTGTCAAGAAAACCTTCCACAAGCCAACATATTGCCACCACTGCACGGATATTCTTTGGGGCTTGATCGGTGTCGGTTACGTGTGCGAAGGTAAGTAACATTTCGATCCCTATGGCCCCACAAGCTACCCAGTGTCCATCGTTTGACCAAACCGTTTTGTCAGCCACCTCATTAATTTATTCCGAAGCTCTATTTATCCATAATAATAACATGTTCTACATTTTATAACCGCGGTACGGCTGAATTTTAATAGTGTTTTCGTTTTTCCCACCTCCTTTCGTTGGTTTACCGTTATTTAGGTCTCGGATATTGTGTTTTTTTGAGGTGAGGTCGAAAAGGGAAACCATGTTCGCCTGACCATTGCTGCGTCTGCTGCTGTTAGCCTAGGACTAGGCAGGCGAGCCGCGCATTGATGGGGAGAGCAGGGATGCTATTTTGTGTGTGGTGTGGGGGGGGGGCGCTAAGCGTTGCTGCTATGGAGGAGACGTAGAATTTCGTGTACGAGCCCTATTGACAATCAATAGCATTTAATTTGGGAATAATTTATCTTATTTTTAATGTACAATTAAACAAACCCCGCGATTTTTCGTTTCCTTTTGTCATTCCTCCCAACCCCATGTTTTCGACCAGGGAGTCTCCTGGAGTTCCTTTTGCACTCTCATTTACTCTGGACTAGAGCTGGTGAGAGGACGTGTGTGAGGATGGGTGATTCAAAAAAGATGACAGTGGCTTATTGATTTTTTGGGTTTGAGCTGGATAGGGATGGCTGGACTGAAGAATGTACAGCATTCAGAATTGTTAGTATATCAAGGCACAGGGGAATTTTTTCTTTAATTAGCCTACTTTTATTCCTATCCTATCCTATGGGTTTGTAGTATGTAGGCATAGGCATAACATTAGGCTCTTGTTCAGTGAGAGTTAGATGTGCAGTGGCTGTAAAGCTTTGCAGATTTTGTTATGCCTAATAAGTATTTACAAGCCTATAATTATATGTAATAAATTCTTCTGCTATTTTTAATTCCATAAAATGTAATAAAACTTAACTAAAGTACTGATTACTGATTACATTTAGGTTTGACTCCATTATAAAGTAAGTTTTCATTTTTTGTAATAAAAACAAAGTAACCCAACTGCAATAAAACTTAAACTAAACTAAAGTTCTGATGACTGTTTAGGTTTAACTCCTTTATAAAGTAAGTTTTCATTTTTGTCTATAAAAACAAATTAACTCAACTGCAATATGTATCCATATATTTTTTTTTGCTTCTATACATTTTCAAAATAATGTACACTTTTAGGTAGGAACATGTCAAGCAAAAGATTTGCCAGTGGCAATGCTTGTATTAATACAAATCTCTTCCCAAAATATTAACACCCTTATTTTACATGAAAAACTTTGATTTTGACTCCCTCTAAAGATGGTGCAAGGCTTTGGTTTTTCTTTGCATTCTAAAGATGGTGCAAGGCTCTGGTTTTTCATTGCACTGCCCTGCTTTTAGGCTGTTAAGTGTCATTATTTCATGTTAATACATTGCTGCTTTATTGACCTTTCTTAATGATAATGTATTATAAACTTTGAACAAAAATTTATGAATTATTGATTAAAAACAAGGGTTTATGTGCTTGCTTATAATATTGATAGCAACTAAATTAAGGCAGTGAATTTAATAAGTTATACGTTCCCCTCAAGTCTCTATGACTATGGAGCTTTTCCTTCATTTCCTGGTGTCTTATTTTACAAATGGCTACATCGTGCACAATGAATTTATAAATGTCTATGAATATTTATAATACTTGCAATTTAGACCTCAAAATTTGAAGCAAGTCTAATTTCAATTTGCTTGCTTTGTTCTTTTTTATTTTCTTTAGCCAAAGAGTAAATTCCTTCTTAAGTATTAAAATAAAATACTTAGCAATGCTCTAGGAATGGAATGTAACTAAATATAAACAACAGGAATCATATGGTTCAGGTATGAGGACTTGAAAATTTAGCCTATCAAAAAAATAGACCTTTTTTTTTATTCATCAGAATGTCAGCAATAGTGAGTATATTAATGTTTTGCTGTCTTATGCAATGCTCAATAGCATTTCTGCTTTGCTAGTTTTCAGTCCCTACTGGAATTATTAAGTTGCACACAGTTTACTGACATTGATGATAAACTGCTACTGCCAAATGATTGGATAGCATTAATGCATTACCACTTCACTTTTGGCTACATAAAATTCACAACTGTTATGCAATAAATAATGCACCTCCATTGCTAGAAAAAGACACATAACATTTAAGGATCACAATATTTTTTCTTTTCTTTCAAATAGAATTGTATTCCATGGTTTCCACAAATTGAAAGTGTGAAGTCTTTCTTGCCTCTGCATTACTTAATCATATCAGGGAAAGCATGCTTCTACATAGTCTTATTATAATACAGATATGTTAGATTATTTACAAGTAAAATACTTGTCTGTTCTTTAAAAAAGCAGTGTTTAAAAAAAAAGAAATTATAGTCTTTAGCAACTTTTAAAAAACTAGCTAATATATAATATATATTATATAAGAAAGAGCCAATGTAGATGTGTCACACTCGGATTTTTAAAAACAGTTCAAAGTTATTTTGTATTATTTTCCATAATCTAAACACTTAATACGCTCAGATTCTTAATTACAGTGATAATGATTTGTTTATTGTTTAAAGGCAATGGAATCAATTTAAGTTTGATCAAATAAATATGTTTTTATGCAATTATAAGTAATCTTAAATATGTAAGTATTACTATTATAAATAAATTTAATATAATAATTCTTTTCTTTGTAGTTCAGGGGCGTGAAGAAAGGTTGGGTGTGCTCATATTGTATAGAGCAGTGGTCTGCAAACTCACAAGTAAAAAGAGCCAAAAATCAGCAGCAGGACAATTTTAAAAAATTTAGAGCCAAATTTCTTTTCAAGAACCTGTCAAGAGCCATGTTTTTCAGAGTCAAAACCAATTTGTGGCTTACTCACCGAACCGCACTCAGATCGCTAAAGAGCCGCACGCGACTCGCATTTGTCGACCACTGGTATAGAGGATAAACATTTATTTAAAACCAGTGATGTTAGAAATGTAAAAATGTTTCATAAGATACTTCTTTTTAAAAAGGGGAAAGTCTTATTTACTATGTCCTAAATGTACATTTCAAGTTGTGGGAAATGTTTGTAATTGTTCTTTGAGGCTACAATATCTCAAAACCTGATACAGTTATATTCATAAAATGAGTAGATATATTCATAAAATGAGTAGATTTTGAGACTGCGCAATAGCAGGTAGCAAGTAGCGCAATGTGCATTCCATTTTTAGCCCAATGACACATCTTCTAGTTACTGTGTAGGTAAGCATTGTTCATTATCATCTATAATTTCATTTTAAAATGGGTCATAGTCATAAACAATGATTTCTAAAATGTACACTTACATGTACACAGTCTGAGAAAATTAGCTCAGCACACACTTTTTGTTCTTGCTGGAATTTTCTGGTTCTGATTGATCTTGTTCAAGGTATCAAATTAACTAAGCTATTAAAAAAATTATTTTAATTGAAGAAGAAACTTGATTTCAACTTGAATTAAAATTAAAACATATATGACACATGACAATATCTTTGCTATGAACTTCAATGATAACATTTTTTTTTTGTGGAAAAATATGTTAACAGTCAATTAACCTACTTAATTAATACCCCTTGTAGCATCGTTTAAAATCCAAATAATGAAAACAAATAAAGGAACGCCATCATTTTCTGTCACAGTTTGATGTGATAAACATAGATTTGACCTAATGTATAAGCTATAAATTTATTTATTAAATTCAATGGAAAAATGTTTCTTACTTTATGCTTCTAATAATTTTTGCACTGCCTAATAAGTTGCCAAAATGGGGATGTGATGTTTATTAAAAGTAATCAATATTATTTTTAATCCAGGTGTGATTCATGACCCACGATGTTGTGGGATACATTCCAATGTCATTTATTAAAGCTGTAAAATCATCCGCTTAAAGACATTGTCACCTAGAATGAACATCCAAGGATTAATGTAGTGATTTTTTTTTTTTACATAAAAATTACACATTCAACGCGGAAGTTTAAAAAATTAGAAATGGTTTATTTTTATATGTCTTTAAGTTCAGTTAGTCTAAACCACACATATAAAAGTTTTGGTTGAAAGCGATTGCAAAACAAATTTTTATTCTTTAAAAATTAGTAGTAACGCTTGAAATAAAAGTACTAGTTTTGTGTAGGCTTTTAGCTAGTGTCTCTTTTTTTTTCTTTTTTTTTTTTGGGGAAATATTATTGTAGGATGTGTAAATCAAGCTATTATAGTTCCTACACTGCTTATTTTTGAGGTTGAAATGATGTGTGGCAGTAGGCTCTAATTGGTTGACATAGGGTTTCATATGCCTTCAATGACACTTTAAATTGATTTTACTAGATGTTTTCAAGCCCCCGAAAATTAAATATATTAATTTAAAGAATAACAAATTTATAACACTTACAAATAATAAAGTGATTTACAATGAATAACTTTATATGCAAGTAAATTTCTTTCAGCAATAAAACCCCAAGCAATAATTTCATCTTATTTGCATTGTCCACTGTAATATTTTACAGCTGAGTGTTATCAGTGAAGAAATTAATTCATAGAATACAATATTATCTTTCATTATACATGCATTGTTCTTTTTGTACAGTTTCTTATGCACAATAATCAACCATGTATGAAGGTACTTGATTGTTGTCAAAAAGTGGTATTTTGTGATATATATATTAACAAGTTTAAATATCACATTATCCCATTCTGGATACTACATGTACAGTATGTATCTATGTATATTCCTGGATTGTTGGAGATGGATCAGCATTGTTTTACAGCATTTGTACCCCATTGCTAAATGCCATGTGCATTGCATATGATAATGATAAAAATTACAGTTGAGCATTATTTACTGTAAATAAGAATGAGATGATTAAGTTTAGATTTATAAATTATTATTGTAATTTAATATTTTTTTAATAAAATATATTAATTTATTGATTTTATTGCCATAAGGCTTTGACCATTGAGCCAAACTTCAACTAATTAACTACAGAGGATGATGATTTTGGTTCATTCTGGGTGGCATTGGCAAAGTTCCAAGACTTTGCTGGCAAAGGTCCAAGACTTTGCTGTGACTGTACCACTCAACAAATAAAAATGTGGCACTGAAGGTCACTGCTCTAAAGTGACTTTAATTAGTATGCCATTTTCCCTAGCTCTTTCTAAGTGCATTGAAATGCTACACTAATAAAATTCTTGTTAATTTTGTTAAGACTGCCTGGCAATTTTAAAATTGCTGACATATTTGGTGTAAACCATAGCATATCTGCTGGGGGACATTCTCCAAATGCTCCATCTGGCTTTTTGAAAATGGGCTCTATGGGAAGCATGTTTTTTTTTAAAAGGATTGTTAATTCTGAAGCTGGGGAAGAGTAGGTTAAAGATGACAAATATTCAGAGTCACCAATCACAAACTAATGCCAGAAATTGTCAGAAAAAATTAATCTATTGATCCTTAACTGCAGTATGCCAAGTAATCCTCACAGAGAACCTGGGGAGGCATCCTTTTGCTGCAAAATTTCTTCCCAGGTACTTGACATGTTGACACTTAAAAGCACCAGGGCCTTGATGTTAAATTTAAACTTTTTAAGATGGCTAAGTACCCAATATTTATCTTAGATCATTACAGTTGGTGAAATTTAGGTTTACCAGTATGATTTAGAGACAAAACAGCATTAGTCACAATGGAGGAACCTGCATTCTGGAAGACAAAAAAGGTTCTGACACACAGTAACTAATCCAGCTCATGTCTACATGCAAATGACTTAATGTTTTAAAACTGTTGAAACTTGATTATAGTAATTTCTTATGTTAAGATAGGTGCTTACAGTTAGATATGTAAATTTATTAGAAAAAAACCTGCCAAACAATGGTGGCGACAATGCTGAACTTTCCATCTTATAAAGTTATTTTACAAAATAAGAGTTCAAGTAAAACACTTCATGAGAATCCAAATTAGTGCTAACTTTTGGGAATTTTATTTTGTGTGCCTATTGAACACAGCTTTACAGTCATAGATACATATACACATACCTAGAGAATTATTATTTTTAATACAAGAAATATTTAAATTTTGTCTGCATTTTAAATTGAAATGATCCCTTAGTTAAATTTCAACATGCTGTTTTAATATAGATGAAAATTGTTTATTAGAGAAGAGGAATACAACGAATTAGAAATATGTTAAATTTATTACCAGACATTGACTGTTTCGCCCTTTTATTAATGGGGAGGGGTGTAAGCTGGCTTATTCAGCACCCTTTCTTGGTATACACTTCTGTTCCCATCATAGATAAACTTCTTTTTGTGGACAGAGATGACATCCAATAATGTTTTGTCATGTGGTTGAGATTCCTTTTCATTCTTGATTTTTTTTTAAATACCATATCCTACCCATCAGTACTTCAATGGTTTTTTTTAATTTCCTAATATATTAAATGAATGGCTGTGTTGTTCAGTCAGGAAAACATAGTTCAAGTGTGCTGATTGTCAGTGATCAAACCCAGCAACATCAGTCAACCCCACCACCTGGGGATAAAAAAGACATATTATTGATGCTAATAAATGCAAAATTAACACAAAATAGTCAGATGTTCTAAGTCAAAATATATGGTACGGTGTTCAAATACTTGCAGAAAAAGTTGCAGAAGCCAAAAAAATCTACTTAAGTTCAAGGGAAAACAGTATATTAGGAATAAAAATGTCATATCTAACAGTGCTACAATACTTTTGTCTTCTATGCAATAAAAATATGCTTAATTATTTTTTTTCAACAGTTTGTAACTTTGTTGTGCATGACCGTTGTATGAAGACAGTGGTATCTCCTTGTTCCAGCATTGCAACAAGTCTTATCAAAGTAAGTCTTGTATTGTTTTGTTTTTCTTGCAGTTTTTGATTTAAAGATTATTTAAATGACATTATTTTTTTAAGCGTTATGGCTACATTACAGACTGCCTATGTTGTAGCTCAGGAGTTGGCAAACTGGGGAATATTACCCCAAATGAGGTAAAAATAAAAATCTTGGGGGAAATGGGGGCTCAAAAGACATTAAAAAATTATAATAAAAGCATGTTCCTTTTTACGAAAGTATAATTCTTCTGACAACACTGCATCTGACCAGTTAACAGAGAAAGGCATCCAATATGTTAAGGTTACTAGTGGCCTGGTAGCTATCGTAACAACACCATTTGTCTAGTATGCATTATTTTGGCCTATTTGCCTATTTTTATCTTATGCACAGTGGCATCTCTAGGGTTAGCGTAACAAAAATGCAGTAAATGCATGGTGTCATCTCCTCCACGACCTCCCCCCCGAATTGGTTTTCACCAGTGGCACCCTAAGCTACCTGTTATGATGGTACTCTTCTAAGGTAGTATCCTTCTAAGGTGGTACCCTTCTAAGGTGGTACCCTTCGATGGTGGTACCATTCTACAGTGGCACCCTTCTATGGGGGTACCCTTCTCAGACCTGTTTACTTATATGGTTGTGGCATACAATGTATTATTTTGAGATGTCTTTTACAAGTGTCCGCTGAAACCTGTCAGAACTATGATTTTACGAGACTGATAAAAATATTATTCCTGTAGTTTTTACAATTTAAAAAAAAAAAACAACATTTGTTTTCGGCTGCTAGTTTTAGCTCCTTTCTGTAGCTGGCAGTGAATAGACAGAGAAATACAATTGGCTGGGGACCATCCTTTATTATAATACCCACGGGGGAAAGGTGGTGGTGCTAACTTGGAAGTATATAGGTGTGCATGGGAGGGGTAGGGGGGTGTTGAAATATTTTTAAAGTGCTTAAATAAGACCATCCCATTTTTTAAAAATCGTGATATTTTTGCTTTGTGTTTCATAATGAACTCACTAGATACACTCTGTATTTAGCATATTCACCCTAGTGTCATATTTAGCAAACATTCGCTTTTTTTAAACTCTAACCCCACTTTTACTCTGGTGACTAAGCGGGCGTCCTCAATTTCTGCTCCCTAACACATCTTCATATATTAAAGTGGCAATAAACGTAGTCATCTGCTTTGAGAAATGGTCTTTATGAGACATGATATGCGAAAAATAGTTATTTTATTAATTATACTGTATGTTAATTTATTTACTTTTACAGTACGGTATTGTATGCTTTTGAGATGGTAAAGTACTATGGGGCCCACCATAAAGGATGTCACACGTCTATGTGGGGAAAGGGGGGGGGGGGTTAAAGCAGTGTGACGTCACAATGAAAGCGGAACATTATAGTAAAAAAAAAAATAAAGGATGTCACACGTCTATGTGGGGAAAGGGGGGGGGGGTTAAAGCAGTGTGACGTCACAATGAAAGCGGAACATTATAGTAAAAAAAAAAATGCACTGAATAACACTAAATCACAGACCTTTTTAACATTATTCTTTTTTAAAAAATACAATTATTTTATTTTGAAACTATGGTCACTGAGAGAATCAGTACATGTATGCGAGATCAGAGAAATGGCCTCTGTTCAAGTTACTGGATGCCGCTGAGGAGGAAAATCGAGGTGTAGTGAGATGAAACAAAAAATTGGGGGGGTGGGGGGGCATTTTTTAGGAAATGTTCCATTCCAGGGATTCTTTAATTTTTTGCAGTGCTCCAACTCTTCTCAACTTCTATACATCTCCCACAATCCTCGCCTCGTATAATTTAAATAGTATTAAAATTTTTTAATGAAAATCATTAAACAATTTATTTATTGTTGTTTTATTTGTTTAATTAACTTTCTAGATAGGAAAAAAAATACCAATAAAAGTAATACACAAAGAAAATTCAACAGAAAAAACTTTTACTACTGCTATTTAAAATGCATCAAAACTGATTTTATTTTTAAAGGCAGAAATAACTAATGATGGCAGCTAATGAAATTTATATTCGGGGTCTTCCGCACCATGGGTCGTGCTTTCACCCATGTTTGAGAACCACTGTTCTAGGGAAATGTTTGTGATACAGGGGCAGTTATTTGTTATCCAAGGGAGGTGATTTTTGTAAGAGCTTGTAAAGGGAAGTAGTGGACAGATGTATTTTTATTAAAGGGGGGGGGGGGTAGAAAGAGGTTTATGACAAGGGTTCTCAAAGTTTAGGACTTGAGCTATAGTCGTAGAACTGATCACCGTTTAATCCAACAAGTCCTTTAAAACCGATTTAAAGACACATCTATTTCGCAAACACCTTCTGGGATGATTGTCAACATTATTTTCCAGTTAATGCATAATGGCTGTGTTGCTTATGGTTGAAATGGCTAGAAAGACTTTGCCATTGTATGCTTGTACTTAGTTTTTGTAGTGTTGCGTTTGTTTTAAATGTGGTAAACTATAGATTTGTTTTTTGTTGACTTTGTACCGCGCTTCGAGCCTTTGGGGATGAAGCGTGTTTTTGAAATGAACTTTATTATTATTATTATTATTTTGGGATTTCCAGTGTAACCAGGTCTTTCTTCTATGGGTGTATCCCTACTGTGGATCCTTGTCCTATGGCACCCTTCTCTTATGACATTCAGACTTGATCCAGCTCTTTCATATTTACAATTTTACAGTTAGTGCCAACCCCTTCTTTGGCATTTGGGGGTGTCAGCTGATGTGATCTGCATTCCTGGAAAGTTACTCAAGTTGCCAAAAGCTGCACATCCTTTCAAAATTGCCTAAGATGTGGCCATCAGTAGTTGCTGTCTTTTGAAAAAACCTATCTTTAGGTACATGCATTTAAGAACAAAGCAGAGAAATCAATTATTGAACCTCAAAGACAGTATCCAAATTGCTCTCCCAATTTTGATGTTATTGCATCAAAAATGAAACATTATTTCTCCAAAATTTGAAGTGATTTTTTTTATTGCCAAGAAATCATTGTATTCCTTAATAGAGATGTTGTTGCATTTATTTTATAATTTTAAATTTATAAGTGGTCATCCTCTATATTGTCTCATTCAATAAGCCATCTTGAAACACAGTAGTCTAGAATTTCTTCCTTCTAAACTGGGGGCAACTGCAGCATAACAAGATATATTTTGGGGTAGTGGCTATAAAAATGTCCCGATGTAGACCATCTGTTTTTGACACTGTGACAGTTCCTCAGTATCAAGTCTGTGATTTTTCAGTAAAGGTTATTGAAAGCTACTGAATAGTATGAAAACAATCTTTTATTCTAATTTCCCACATAAAGGAAAATTATATTTAAAGCCTACACCAGAGGTTCTCAAAGTCACAGTGCCTTGTTACATCCATGTCTTTCATAGGTGCTGCATGTTGAATTCTAACTAATGCACTCATGAAATAGCTAATATTTAATTGCAATTTTCATTCTCACCATGAAAACTACAAACAATGAGAAATACTTCACTAACTTCATTTTACTTTATTTTAACAATATTCAATTGATACAATCTTCTAAATCTAATTAAACACTAAGACCACATTAAATGAACACAAAGTACCAAGTAAGTCAGAGAAACTAAATCACTAAAACAATCAAAAACTTAATTATTATAGAGCGTCATCTAGTAACCATTTTGAAGGCTTCTGCAAAAAGTTATTACTAAGTGACTCAATGGTTTGCACCACATCTGCTAGATGTTGCTTAAAACTACATTATAATTGTTCTTAACACTTTGTGAGGTAGCTAGGGATCCCCAGGGCGCCGTGACTGAAAATTTGGGAACCTCTGGCCTACACAAATATATCTCCAATTTCTTATAAAAGATTGAAAATTTCTATAGAAAGAATGAAAAGTCATCATACATGGAGCGTTATGAATTGAATGAAATCAATGGTCATTATTAATCCTTCACGTTTTCTAGATTCAGCATAAAAGCACATCAAGTTGAGATATTTTTTAAATTTTGTGTCCTTATATTTTTTATTAGCAACATACTACATTTAATGTCTTTCTTGTCTAGCATTTTGACTTGTTTATCTAAAAGAAACAACATATTAAATGATGACATCATTGTGGAAATAAGGTTTTTTGCTATAAGAGCATTCAATAATATGTTTATTCTAACAAAAATGGATACTTTATCTACTGACTGAACATTAATAATAATAATAAAGTTTATTTGAAAAACATGCTTCATCCCCAAAAGCTTGAACGCGGTACAAAGTCAACCATATTAAAAAGAGAAATAAAAAACAATCTCAAATTTACCATATTTAAAAAACAGACGCAACAATATAAAACTACATACGAGCATACCAAGTCAAAGTCTGTCATCCAATTTCAACCATAAGCAACACAAGCTAATTTACATTAATTGAAAAAAGATCGTAGATTGCATCACATTGTATTCAATAAAGCTGTGCTAGAACCTTGTATAATTGTAAATTTAAAGTCAAGTCCTAAATATTTTAATTTTGATTTAGTTATTTAAAAAGATGTGATTAATAATTAATCTCTTGTATTGGTTCTTTGTTAAAAATCATCATGTGTTTATGCTTTATTTGTTTTAATCCTGCTAAGAATTCTACAAAGCTGATTTGTATAATCAGAAGATAATGTGTTCAAAATATTACCATGAGGCAAATTTCACTTTTTGTTAATCATGGAGGTAGAAATACTTGCTTTAATAATTTTTAACTATATTTTGCAGAATGATTAAGTTGGAAATTCTTATTCTAAGAATATATTCTTAAATATTTACTTACTTACTATTCCCAGTTGTATCCCACACTGTGTGTGTTTGCCTCTATCTTGTGTCTCTGTGTATTCTTTGGCCTTCCTCTCTTCCTTTTCCATTTGGATTCCATAATGAGGATTGTCTGATGATGTTATCTGGAGGTTTATGAAGGATGTGCCCTATCCGCCTCCATCTTTCCCTTATGATGTCTTCAGCAATAGGCGCTTGGTATGTCCTTACCAGTAAGTCTTTGTTGGTGATGGTGTTTTGCTATTTGATGTTCAGCATCTCTCTTAGACAAGTTTTTATGATGGTCAGTGCTGTCTGCACGATGCTAGCTATTCTCCAAGTTTTTGCTCCATAGAGTAGGGCTGTTTTGACATTTGTATTGAAAATTCTAACTTTGGTTTGCAGAGTCAGCTCCTTTGAATCCCATATTGTCTTTACTAGCAAAAATGCTGGCCTGGCCTTTCCAATTCTAGCTCCGACGGATCCATTTATGTCAATGTCGCTGCCTAAGTATGTGAAGGCCTCCACTTCTTCCAGTGCATTTCCTGCCAGAGAGATATTCTCTTGATTGGCTGATCATGATCTTTGTCCTCCTTTTAATTATATTGAGTGTGGGCTGTGCTGAAATGGTGGCTACATCTTTTTTCTTTTCCTGCATTTGTTGCTAGTTGTGGGACAGAAGTGCAATGTCATCTGCTAAGTCTAAAGCTTTCATTTGTTCCCAGCGTGTCCACTGTATCCCATTTCTCCTTTTGTCTGTGGATTTTTTCATTATCCAGTCAGTGGCAAGGATGAATAGAAAGGGGGACCAGAGGCATCCTTGTCTGTGCTACTGTTTCCACTTTATAGGCCTCTGTGAGTCTACCTTTGTGTGCCACCTTGTATGTCATTTCTTCATAAAAACTCTGAATGATCCTGACTAGTTTTCCTGTTACCCCATAATGATGGAGAAGTTTCCACAAGGTGTGTCAGTCAAGGCTATCATAGGCCTTATCATAGTCTATAAAATTTAGGTAAAGGGGGAGTTCCATTCCATGGACTGTTCTATAATGATTCGTAGTGTTGCAATTTGATCTGTTTTAGCAGGAGCCAGCCTGTTGATCTCATAGCTGGTCCTTCACTCTCTTCAAAATAATACTGTTAAATACCTTTGCTAGTATAAAAAGCAGTGTAATTTTTCTTTAGTTTGCACAGTTTTCCAATATTTTGGAACTCTCTCTTCTTCCCATATCTTTTCAAACAGAGGGTGCAGCATGTTGACTATTTTATTGATGTCTGCTCTCATCGTCTGTGTTGTGATGTTATCTGGTTATGATGCTTTCCTTATTTTTAGCTGATTGGTAGCCAGGGCTATTTCTTCCTCTATTGGGGCACTGTCTTCTATTTGTAAATCTTCATTAACTGGTTGTGTATCTGTGGGGTGTCTGTGGGTGAAGGTCTGTTATGTAATTTCTTAAAGTATTCAAACAAAATTTTTTTTTCTTCTTTTCTTTCTGTTATTGGTCTACCTTTTTTGTCTTTAACTGGTCTTTCTGGCTTCTTGTATCTTCCTGAGAGCTTTCTTATTATGTCATAGAGCTCTTTCATGTTTCCCTTTCTGACTGCGTCTTCTGCTGTCAATGCTATACCATCTATGTAAGTTCTTTAATCCTTTTCGATGATATTCTTTACCCTTTGATTGCTTGTTTTTATTTCTTGTGTGCTTTTGCTTTATCTGCCCTGGTGCAGCTGTTGTTATTTGCATACTTCATGTTTTTCCTCTAGTTTATTTTTTTGGAACTTGTGAGAGTCAATCCCTTGTGTTTTTGCTTCACCTGTACCTCATAGCACATGGATTTTACAGACATCTTTGTTTTGTCATTTATGTTCTGTTGTCTGGTCATCATCTGTTTGGTCTTGCAGTGACTGGAATTTATTTCTCAAGGTGACCTTATATTTTTTATTAGCAACATACTACAATTAATAAGTCTTTCTTGTCAAGCATTGTGACTTTTTTATCGAGAAGAACCAACATATTAGTCTTGCCCAAACTAGATGGTGATTAGATGCAACATCAGCTCCTCTTTTTGCTCGTAAAGATTTGCTTAATCAATTTGGTTTTGTGTTTTGTTGTCAGGGACACCCAAGAAGTCTGTCAGTCTTTCGTGGTTTTCATTTCTCTCTCCTATACCATAGCGCCTCATAATTTTCTTTTTATCCTGTATTTTCTTTTCCGTTAGATCTCATATGATATTTAAATCTCTACCTGGCAATTTTTCCAGTATGGCATTTTCTTTAATATCGTTGGGTGGGTGCATAGCACTGTATTACATTCATTTTTATTTTCTTCTTCTGTGTTAGGAAAGTTGCTGTAATAATCCTTGGACCATGGGCTTCCCATCCTATCAATGCCCCTTGTACCATCCATATCATCATAAAAGTGACTCCGTGTGTGTGTGTGTAGCATTTTCCTCCTCATGCCCTGAGTGTATTAGTGTTTTTCTGAGGCCAAAGTTAACTGACCAGCTTGTGTACATCTTGTTTCACAGTGCCAGAGCAGTGTTTGTATATTCTCATTTCTGCCGCCACTTGTGCTGATTTTCCTGTTTCATACATGGCTCTAACATTCCACGAGCCTATGTTTATTGCCTTTGAAAAGAGGGTCCTCTGCTTTGAGGCTTCCAGTATAACCTGGATTTGGCCGCAAAGCTTCATAACTCTTTTTGGGAAAGAATAGCCTCCTCTTATCAGAGCTGACATTTGTTGTTTTTTTTTTAATTTTTGTAGCAGTTTGTTTTTTACGAGTGTGATAGCTGACCTCTTGCCAACCCTCCTCCTTTTGCACCCGGACTTGGGACAAGCCATGGGGGCCATAATATGTTAAACATGGATCAAATATGGTGCAACCCAAAGATATCACAAATTTTGATGTAATGCTGTCAAGGCATAGTTTCCAAAATAGGGTATATTCGTTCCCACAAAAAAATAAATTATGTGAACAAGATTTTTTAAATAAATATATTCTCATACTTCACCTTCACAAATTCACTTAAACTAGTCAAATTTAAGCATCACTTCTTTTCTTTTTTTTTTAAACCCATGGCACTTCGCAAATAATGTTGCAAAACCTGCTTTAAGGCAACCCCTATTAATGCCTTACAATTTTATGGACCGCTCTTTATTGTGTTACAGTGAGTTTTACTGTTATTACTAATGTGAAATTAGTTCTTGCAAGAAGTGTTTTAATCCCGTATTCTAATACCTACATTTTTCTATCCTCAGAATCCTGTAGCTCATTGTTGGTCAGAACCAAGCCATTTTAAAAGAAAATTCTGTAATGTTTGCAGAAAAAGACTAGAGGACAGTCTGGCAATACGCTGTGAAAGTAAGGGTTTTTAATATTATAATAATAATCTAACATCTTGTTTATTGGCTGGTTAAATTTTCATGAGAAAATTTTTGTTAGAGGCTTTACTAAGTTTTAGTTTTGAAAAAATAATCCTAATTTTTCAATTTAACATATCCAGGGATGAAAATAAATTTAATGTAAGTACTGACTTCTTTCTGAAATAAGCCTCTAGTGAAATTCAATATTAGTGGCATAAATAGTGAATTCTTTCTTAAGCAAGAAAGTATGCAAAGTCAAGATATCTTTATTCATTAATGGCCCTGTTAAAGAACTGCAAGTTGGACTGCCTCGAAAAATTCCTGCCATTATCATTCTCATTAAAAAAAATTTCCATAAAAGCTTAACTACTATAATTATGTTGGTTTTTTTTTTTTAAAAAGAGATATGGACAGAAAATTATGATTTTTAAACTCTTATCTCACCATCTAAAAATTACTACATTCCTTTATTTTTTTAGTATGTGAATATTATGCACATCTTGACTGTCAAGACTTTGTGGTGAGCGATTGTATGGAATGTGCTACTTACTTTCCTCAGAGAGATAGGGTAAGTGGAGTTCATGAAAAAAAATGTCAGCATAAATTATGTTGGTACTATTTCTGTTGTTTTGCTTTGCCTGTAAATGAATAATGCATATTAATTTATAGTACTAATTAACTGAGTGAATCAAAGATTCTACAAATTATTTCTTTTTTACTGTGCTTGCAACATTTTTAAAGCATTCTTACAATATGTCTTAATAGATAATAAAATGAAATAATAAATATTAAGTTGTTTTCCCATTAAAATTCAAAGAATAAAAATTTGTCATCATACTTGTTATTACATTTTTTGTACGGAATTTTTTCTACCACTGTGTTCAGAACAAAACTTCATTGATGGTTTCTATATTTTATATATATTATGTCTCCACAAATTTTGATTTTAGAACTATATTTTATAAGTTATAAAGTAATTATGAGCGCAAAATGTGTGCTGTAATTAATCAATAGCTTTTGATCATAATGTATTGGTAAAATAAATACTCAGAGGTGAGTAGGCTCACTTGTGTATTTTCACTAGCTGAATTACACTAACACACAGAGGCGTAGCTAGAGTGTTTGGCCGCCAGGACAAGATTCATTTTAAAGCACCTCCCTTTCTTTTTTTCAACTCTCAAACCAATTATTTTCATCAATAAAATAATATCAAAGCACATTTTGGCGCCCCTAACTAGCCTGGCGCCCAGGGACATCTGTCCCCCCACCCCTTAAGCTACGCCTCTGCTAACACACGACATATAATTTCAAAATTTGATCAATACATGAAATTCTTTTCCATTTCCATTTACTCATTTACAGTCTTTAAAATATTTAGAATCTGAGAAACCTCAGAGTGTAATCAGGGAAATCTCTATGAATCTCACAGTCTATAAATTGTTGTCATCAGAATGTGATCCATTACCACCACTGGAGAGAGGGTAACCTACCTCCCAACTCCAAGTGTGTTTCATGCAAAAAGACCTGCTGGTCATCGGAATGCCTGGCTGGTATGAGATGTGAATGGTGTGGGGTTACGGTAATTATCTTTTTTTTCTATTTATAGGTTTAAATAACAAAGTTATGTATTCATTTATTTTGAATTAAATTTTTTGTGGTCTATAACACAGTAAAAAAAAGTTTAATTGAAATGATTTTCTAAATTAAATATAATATTAATATATATGACGGAATATGCTTCTTATTGTTGAAACAATTGCAAGACAAAAATGAATATGTCTGTTTTTTATTGCTCTAGTAAAAGAAAATTTCACTTGACACTGTTATGGCAATGTATACAATTTTAGACCAGATGACATAGGAATTACAGTGTCTTTTTTATGATGTAATTTTGTGACATAATTATTTTGTTTTGGCTGAACAGTGGCGATTATAAAAACTGAGAAAAATACAGATTTTTTTAGAATGCATTCTCAACTTTTCTGCACAGCAGCGTTTCAGACCTTGATATATTTTATGAAGTCTAGTAAACGGCATTTGAAATCTATATTTAGAAGTCACTAAGTAGCTGTACAATTTTCATACACCAGCCCTCTACTTTTCCCAAAAAAGCTTTACGGTACTTATTTAACTATAATATGTTAATGGAAAATAATATCAGACTCCTAGGTCTAATGCAAGGGTGAGAAATTCACGGCCCATCATGCTAAATATTGTTGCTCACCTGAAGTACCACAAATGAACTTAATCTTTCATTTATTTAGTGATTATTTTCAATTTGGGCATAAAGGCAGATTTGAAATATATAAATAAAATAGCAAAACGAGGTATGTGTGAAGCTTGAATAAGATAACAGGACAAAAAACAAGGACGTTTCGGCATAAAGCCTTCCTCAGCCAACAGTAGAAATGAAAATATTTTCATTTTTATTTTCATTTCTACTTTTGGCTGAGGAAGGCTTTATGCCGAAAGGTCCTTGTTTTTTGTCCTGTTACCTTATTCAAACTTCACACATACCTCGTTTTGCTATTTTATTCATTTACTAGGCTTGAAAGCAGTCCTTTCATTTATATTTTGAAATATATAGGCCTATACGTTATCATATTTTATTTTTTGACGGTACGCACAATTTCAGGGTATCCGGCCCTTTTTTAGACTAATTTAAAAAATTTAAATTAGACTGTAATATCTACTTTTTGAAGTTACCTTTTTTTGACCCCAACTTAACTTGATCCCACTAGACACATGATGCAAATAGTTATTGTACATAGTATACATTATATATATTGTATGTTTATTTATTCACTATTAAGATACAGTATTGTATGATTTTGAGAGGATATTGTACGGTTTTGGGAGTTTAAGGGTAAACAGGTCTGTTATATCAAATAGCTGAGGATGATCCTGAACATATTTGAACATTCAGTCCTTCTACAGTCAAACATGCCACCATTTTACCACAGCAGATTTTTTTATATTCTATCTTCTTTAGGCTCATGCCACATGTTACCGCTCCCTGCCAGTTGAATGCAAGTTTGGGAGCTTGAGAGAGATTCTCCTCCCTTCCTCATGTTTGACTATCCCTCGACTTGACGTTCCCATGGAAACGATTCTAGGGATCAGCCGAAAGTCAAGTGAGCATTATGGTCCTTTTTTTTTATCTGATACTGATCTGACAAATATGTTTTAAGAAACTTTAAATAATGGTTTCGATTGAAAATGTCTTCTATTTCTTAATTTCAAAAAAAAATTTTAAATTTGCAAGTTAAGCCCCAATGACTCGTATTGCTTTCATAATGTGCACTTAATTTGAAATAATCACCCCAGAAAAAATCACATTGAAAATTATATTTAAAAGTTTCTTACTATTTTTCTATCCTCATAATCACATTCATCATGGTTTGATGACATGCAGCCTTTCCAGGTATTTTGATTTAATTGGTATCATTTCAGATTTTAAGCTAAGTTAGTTCAGAAAACTGTTTTTTTTAAATAATGTGTGGCATTCAAAAATAATATTTTATTATAAACTATCTGCTAATCTAATTCTGTTATATCTTAAATTTTTGCATGGCTTAACTATTTATGGCTTTGAAAAGTTTTCTATAAGTCATGGACCTATTTAAAAAAACAGCTGATAGTGAATATTTGAAAACTGAATAAATGGTGAATGTCAAAATAATCATTCTTAATCCTCAGGAAATAAAGGAAGTGATAAAGAATGGGTAAATGAAAGGTGTTTAAACTTACTATTCTTTTAACTTTTAGCCCGCACTGTTTCTGAGGAGTGGTCTTCTAGTGGGGACTCCAAGACAGAAGATGAAGAGAGAGAAAGACGGTCTCCAAGAGAGAAAGATGGAAGAGACAAAGATAAGGAAGATTGTAGGTGTACAAGTTTGCTATCTTTAAATGTATGCATGCTAACATGTAAAGTTTTTAACATTTTCCCAGCTCTGCAGGATTTCGTACGTTGTTTCACAGGATTTAGAAGGGACAAAATTTGCACACTACTCAGTGCCAAGCATGTTAAAAAATTACGGGTGCAATAAATTCACCTTTGGTTGTTAGGGAGCCTAAAACCTATTGGTTTGTTTAAAATGACCTTTGCCCCAAAGTTTAGGTTTGCTAGAATCTGAGGTACGTTTGACCAGCATCTAGCAAATTTGGCTATTGTGGCAATCCATACAGTGGTAACTACTTTGAGTAGTAAACCATAATTACAAATCAGTTTGTGTAATTCTTAGTGAGAACTGTAATGTAAGTAAATATTCTTTTCATTTCTATTAAATATATTTAATATCACTAACAATGAATAGCTTTAGTGATTATGCATATTTTTTAGACCTACTATGGCATGACTTACTGTTACATGTTAACAGATTCAATAACTAAATCGGTAGGCCTAAACTTTATTTAGAGCTGACAGTAGTGAGAGTATTTGTTTTTTTTAAATTTATTATCTTGCTCCAGAAGTAAACTTCCAATTAACATTTAAGTGGGTGAATCTTTTGTAAAAATCGAAAGCTTGAACTCGACACACATCGAAAATCCTTGAATTATCGATGCTTTATCACTCGAATCATCGAATGCAATTTGCAAAAAATACATTTACTTATTTGCTTTAGGCTCTTATTATAAAGCACATTTTAAAACAATGTTGCTCTAATGAAACTTTGAGTCAATGATGACAAATTATACTACCAAGTCCTTCTCTTTTTTAGACCTAACATGTAGATAATCTAATAGATGCAGCTAAAAAGGCAGAATACTTATTTGCTCATTTCATTGCAATTACAATCTATTTTAAAGTGCAAAATAAACAATTACTCTTATTGTTTGGGTTTTTAAACTAATCCAGAAATTATCAAGAAGGCAAAGTTAGCATGCATTCAAAACATTGAAAATTAAATGAAAAAATTATAAAATTATGCTTTTTTCGACTTTTCATTTTTTCTGTACAGTTTTTCATGCTGTTGTGCGGTTTTTTAAAAACTTTTTGTACAGTTTTTGATCACGCAGGTATGCATGTCTGTAAATGCAATCTACCGGATAGTTTTTATAATTAACAGTCTCAATAACTTTTTTCTTCAAAAGTTCAAGTTCATTTATTGTAGAGTTACAAAATTAAAGATAATAGGATAATCACAGGTTGTACTAAGGAAACAATGCCGCCATTAAAACATCTGCATAACAACTCAAATAGAGGTTAAGTATCAGTATTAAATCTTCATCAAACACAATTCTTTCAATGAAAATTATAACCAATATATGACATTAATTATTTCAACTTTATAATGGTTTTAGTCTTTTTTTAACGGTAAAGTTGGTGTCCATGAGAGGAGTGTGATGGTGTCATTTTGATCAAGTGTTTGATATTTGGGAATTTGCATGGTAGTAACACAATTTCTAATGTATATTTTTTTCTCACAGGTGAGATTATCCGAGTGTTTGATGGCAATGCCTCCCTCAAGAAACGCCTGTACCGCACAATATCTGTACCAAGGAATGCAACTGTACAGGCTATTCTGGTAATTTCTGTCATATATTTGTAACTTTCTTTTACCTATTTTTTTAATTTCAATACAAAAATAACATTTAATCTAAAAGACAAAATATATATATATATATTTGATCATTGACGTTAATATTTATTAGTATTTTTATACTAATATCCTTGGAATACGACAAGGCTGCCTGCTCTCCCCAACCCTGTTCAACATCTTCCTAGACAGAATTATGTCAGATGCTCTGGAAGCGCATGAAGGGACAGTCAGAATTGGTGACAGAATAATCACCAACCTACGCTTTGCGGACGACATAGGCGGACTGGCTGGGAACGAAGAAGAGCTAGCCAATCTGGTAAAGCGTCTAGATAAGACCTTGTCGTCCTACGGCATGCTAATCAGTGCTGAAAAGACAAAACTGATGACAAATAACACCACAGGCATCACCACTGAAATTAAGGTCGGGGAGAAAAGACTAGAGTCTGTAGGCCGCTTCAAATACCTTGGAGCAATAGTCTCCAAAGAAGGCTTCAAGCCCGAACTGATGACCAGGATTGCGCAGACTACAACAGCACTAAAGAGGCTCAAGAAAATATAGCCCCCAGCACCAAAATCAGGCTGATGCGCTCATTAGTCCTCTCCATTTTCCTGTATGCCTGCGAATCCTGGACATAAACAGCCGATCTTGAAAGGAAAATAAAGGCGATGGAGATGAGATGCTTCAGAAGCATTTTTGGCATCTGCTATAGGGACCATATCTCCAATGATACAGTGAAAGAAAGGGTTCGCCAGGCAATTGGGGAGTACGATGACCTACTGGTGGCTGTGAAAAAATGCAAACTACAATGGTACGGCCACATAAAAAGGAAAGCAAGGGCTTGCCAAAGAAATATTGCAGGGCACCACAAGAGGAGGGAGAAGAAGAGGAAGACAAAGAAAAAGATGGGAGGATAACATCAAATAGCGGACAGGACTAACACTGGGCGACGCTGTGCGTAGTGCAGAAGACAGAGACAAATGGAGGAGGATAGTTCACAATTCATTTGTGGCGCCCCAACTGTCCTAGGACTTAGGGACATGATGATGATGATGATCCTTGAAAGCTTCTGTAATTTGCATCTTTTCTATATTTTTATTTCAAACATTAACTTTAATAATTCATGCTCAATTTTAGCAAGCATGCAATGACCCTGCCTTTATTTTTTTTTAGATCAATAAATGCAAACACATATTTGTTCACTATTTCAAATTTACATTTTTACTTAGTTTAATGACAGTATTACTTATTTATTTGTTGCAGGAGGCAGCTCTTAAAACATTCCACATATCAGATGATCCCAAAAATTATTATGTGACAGAAGCCACAGAGTCCAGCTTAGGTAAGCGTACGTATTACTTTTTTCACTTATTCTTGTTGTACATCTGTATATTGCAGTTACTTCCTCTTATCAGAAAGTTTTATTGTTTCTTTTGAAATGTCAAAGACACAAGAAGTCTGATTTTGAAATAAATCATTTCTGCCAATGAAGGAACCATTGCCATTGTGCAAAATTTGCATAGCTTAGTCTCTGTCCTCAATATTATATCATCTATAATTTCTGTACTAAAGTCTATTATTTGTTCAGAAATTTTTACATTTTTTTTTTAAACCTTTACTATCCTATCCCAAAAGAGACGAGACTGATTTTATCACTAAAATAAAAAAAATCTTTTTATAAATAATTCCGTTCAAATAACGCAAGTAGTAATGGAAAAAAAAGGTTATGCTTAGGAGCCTTTAAATAAAATGCTACCTTTAAAAGAAAATATTTATGCTAAAAAGTTTATCAACATTTATGATGGGTTTTTTTAGTTTTTTTTTTTTTTTTAAGATTATTTATATTAAAAAAAAAAAAAAAAAAAAAAAAAAGAATTGAACACAAAGAATCATTGATTACTTTTTTTTTAATAAGATAGTTGAAATCAAGACAAATTTTAAAAAAAGGTTAAATATTAAAAAATTAATGAAATCTTACATAATTCTATTTTTAAAAAAACATAGTGTTATGTTTCGGGATAAATTTAGTGGTCTCAGGCCCAGCAAAGCTTTCAATCTTTTAAAATTACCATTGAAACTGACACAACTTTTGCAAATTTTTGCACAGTGGTGGCGAAATCCTCTTATATACGGAACTCTGGACATGGGAAATATTCTTTTTCATCCCAAGCTATTTCTGGTAAGAGGCAACTGTAATTTATTTTATTTGTGGTAGACCTTAAGAATATTTATAAATCATTCATACATTTTTTTAAAAGGCTAACTTGGCAGACTTGCTAAATCTAACTGTTTCTGACAAGAAGTAACATTATTTCTTTTCAATATTTATATTGTTTCAAAAAGACTCTCCTTCATAAGTAAATTGGTCCATCACTTATTAATTGGCCCTTTATGATTGCTGATTTTTGCACTTGAGAAATGTCTTATGTTAAAATGTTTCTAGTATTAAAATTGTCATCTTAATCAGAATATTTATCCAGTTGCTTATGCTGAAAGTGAATATGTACAATGCAATAAAAACACACTTCCACTTCAATAAAAGAATCTTATTTAACATTGAGTGATGAAGATAAATCAGTTGCCAATTATTTGCTGAGCAATTTTATTTTGTATTTTTAAAATGTATTATTAATCACAATGACAGCTCAATTATTTTGTGCTACCATGAATAAGACTGTAATTTAAAAATTATTTTAACTGGGTAAAGAAGCAATAGTAATACCCCTCTGATTTCAACAATTGACCCTTTGAAGGTGACAAGGGAACAGTTGTCTATTAAAAAAAGTCTGACCTCATCAAAGGTTAGCTGTTGCAAAGCCGGATTTAAGGCCATCTGCAAAACCAAAACAGAGGCCCTTGGTTGTCTACAACTTGTCAATAAATATTGGTGAATCATTCCAAGTGACCAACTCTTTGATAGTAAAATTTGTATGCATATCAAAAGCATATCAGGGCCTTCAACACCTGGCAGTCAATGGCTCATTGTCCACTTTCATCATCATTATCATGTCCCTAAGTCCTTGGACTGTTGGGGTCGCCACAGAGGACATGAAAACTATCCTCCATTTTGTCCACTTTACCCAAAGGATAATCCAAAGCTGAATAGTTGATGGGTGAAGCAGCCCTGGACAACTATCTTACACATTTTGATGATTGGACATGGTTTTAGAAAGTTATCTTATGTCGAGAGAAAGGGGAAATTTTTTATGCATTTTTTTTGTTTCCGAAAAGGCCCTGTCATATATGCACACAAAAATTAAAGTATCAAATGATTAGCAGACAGACTGTTTACACGGACAACTACACATTAAAAATAATTCCAATCAACCAGTCTAAATGAAAACAGAAACTTGCCTAATGAACAGATTTAATTGGGAAACATTTGATAAAATCATACAAAACATCCAAGTTTCTATTAAAACCATATATTTTTACATCTTACATCCTTATGTCAAATTCAAATAACAAACAGCAATACACATTATTCAGCAAAAGGAAGTTCATCTGGCAACTAATGTGTGCAAAATTAGATTCAAATACAGAGTCTGTGATTTTAAAAAGATTTTAAATTTTTTTATATCTTATGATAATAATTTTCCTATTTTTAAACAAATTAGTTCATTTTTTATCACCAGGGACTAGATGATACTTTGTTCTTTCTATGTAAACAATTTTTTTTTAGGAGAAAGAGAACTAGAAGAAAATATGCCTGTTCGGTCGCAATTAAAAACACCAGATGGAAAAAGGCCTTCCATATTTTTGAGATACAAGGAGAAAAAAGACAGTGGGGTTATAAGGGTTTATCCAGGAGGTTTGAGGTTCGTATTAAAGTTACTCTGCTGCATATCTGATTATTCATGTACTGTGAATTAAAATCTTTATGAAGTTTTTCAAGAGTTGATAAGCATTTATATCTTAACAAGAAAAAAAAAACCAAACAATTCCAATAATGAATAAGATAATTGTTTCATTTAATAAATGGATCTATCTGATGAACTTTGTTTTTTTCCATTTTAGGGTCAGTTGTGGTTATAAAAATATTTTTGTGAACAAGGATACTACCACAGAAGAAGTTATTAAAACATCACTCCGTAAATTTGGTGTTGAGGTGATTATTTCTTAACCTTCTTTTCACTTGATTTATAAGTGCTAACTATTTCTAAATTAATTTCAATAGTGACTTAGCTTTAACACATCTTCATTAAGACTTTTAATGTTGTTTTTTAAAAGGACAAGGACCCAGAGAGCTTTGAATTAATTGAAGTATTATTGGACAAAGGAGTTACAGAGAGGAAGGTGGACCGCAATGCCAAACCCTTTCATATCATGGTGCAAAGCAGAAGGGTGGGTTTTAAAAGAAGAATTTTTTAAATACCATTGTGATCATTTTCTGATTGTTAATGCAACTAATCTCTCTTAGTGGCCGTTCAGTTGCTTACTTCGTGTGACCAGGCATCTAAATTATCGGTTGTTACCTTTTTTTTTATAAAGAGGAAACAATTTTAGTCACTCTCCTCTACTTACTAGTGACAATTCAATTTGTTTAAACTAGAATAATTGCTAGACATTAACATTTTATAAACACAGAAATAGTAAGCAATTTATTACAGTTACTACAAATATATAATGTTAATGTCTAACATTTTATTTGTAGTAGTTGTAATAAATTGTTTACTTTTTCTGTGTTTCATTAATTTTACAACCTTTTGAATAGTTCCATTTTGAGTATTAGAAATTCATTACAAAATTGCAAAAACTTTTTTCTTGATGTGATGTCTTCTATTAACAAGAAATAAAATGTGTTTCAAAATACGTCTATATTCATTATTTTCAAGGAGTCACTGCGTCAAAACCGAATGACAAGGTTCTATTTGCAACAAAAAGAAGATCCACATGGTCCTAGCATATCTTTGTATGTGGGCAATTTACCGACAGGTTTATCACAAAGACAGTATGAAAAGATACTGTTAGACATTATAGGCAGAGGTATGGAAAATTATATATTTATTGTGAGGTTCTGAATACACTAAAGAAAAGAATAAGGCTGTCTTCTATTTTTTTTTTTTATTTCATGAAATATTCCTATTAAATTAAGCATTCAAGTTAGAAACATAATTACATATATGCACTAACTTTATTTAACCATTCATAACAGAATTGAGTGTTGCCTATAGATCAGTCATGCATGTACTAGTACATCAACATTTACTAAATAGTTTTTTAGTTAAATTCTTCTACCACCCCTCCTAAAAAATATAACTTTTTATATATTCCAGAAAACAAGTGGGAAAAATTTGATGGTATATACTATGAATATGGTTCACTTGTCCTCATATACACCATACCTGAGGTGGCTACAACAGTATTCAATATACTTCAAGAGTCAAATTTTGATGACAAGCAAATTTTGGCACTACTGCTACCTAATATACAAGTTAGTAAAAGCTCTAAGGAACTAGTTTTTTTTATAGATGGAAAAAAAACAAAAAAATAAAGAGACACAATGAATTATTGTTTCAGTCTCAATCTAAAAATTGTAGTTAGTTTGATATTTCACATTTATATGCATCTAAACCCTGAAAAATCCATTTCAGCCTCACATGATTCCCGAGTACGTGAAACCCCTGATGGTGTTTGTCAATGTCAAGAGTGGGGGCTGTCAGGGACTGGAGCTCATTACCTCTTTCCGCAAGCTGCTCAACCCTCACCAGGTGTTCAACCTGGAAAATGGGGGCCCGTTGCCTGGGTAGGTACCACTGAGCGTTTCCACATCTCTTGTTACTTTTAACTTGTGGTTGATCTATAGCGTCTCAGGATTCTAATTCATTAAATTTCTAAGAAAAGTTAATGATGGAGACCGGTGAAAGTGTCAAAAGCTTTACTCATTTTTTCTTTATTTTATCATATCAAAATAATAGATAAGAAGAAATTGAATATAATTCTATGGGGGGTTTTTTTGCACTTAAACTAAATAAGGAAGAATGGATAAGCACTAAAAGTATTGTTGGTTGCTTGATATAATTAAACTGATCTGCCTTTTTTTCAGCTTGTATGTGTTCCGAAATATCCCTTACTATAAAATTCTAGTGTGTGGAGGAGATGGGACAGTAGGTTGGGTTCTCTCTTGCCTAGACAATGTGGGTCAAGATGCAGAATGTCAGTCTCCTCCTATGGCAATTGTTCCCTTAGGCACAGGTCAGTAAAAATAGGATGTATAAATATAAATAGTCTCCTGAACTTTTAAAAGTAATCACTTTCAATAATGTAAATGTAAAATAGGGTACCCTTATCATCAATTCCTAAGTTGTAGCAATTTTTTTGTTCAGGCAATGATTTAGCAAGAGTGTTGCGGTGGGGTCCAGGTTACACTGGAGGTGAAGACCCTTTGAATGTTCTACGGGATGTCATTGATGCAGAAGAGATTAAACTAGATCGGTGAGATAAACTGTTTGTCGGAATTCTAAAAGCATCCTTTAATATAACTTATTTATTTTGGCAATTATTTTCCCTTACTTCATTTTGTGAAGCAAAGCATTTCATTTATTATTACTACTTATTATAAAGCATTAAGGCACAACTGTTGCTGCTTCTTGGCTTTCACAAAAGATTTTTAAAAATGTTACTAGTGATATTAGCCCCTAAATAATTTTATGTTTTTATTCCCAGCTGGACTGTGATTTTCCATCCCAATGAGAAGGAGCAGGATGAGACAAAAGTGGCCATTGCTAATGATACAAATAGTGCAAACACAACAGAGGACCCAACTAGCATCTTTGTCATGAATAATTACTTTGGCATTGGCATTGATGCAGAGTTATGTCTAGACTTCCACATGGCCAGGGAGGAGAAGCCTGACAAATTTAACAGCAGGTAAGTAGTTGTCTTTTATGTTCAGGAAGGCTGAGATCAGAGTATATACACTACCTGCTTATACTATATATTAACACTGCAACTGATACTTAGTATTACCCAGAATATCTCTTGGTTAGTTATTTTAACTTGTTTATAGGTACCTGTTTTAAATATGAAAAGAAAAATCTGGAATTAACACAGAAATAATTCTCATTGAACTAAAACATTTGTAAATGTTTTATCAATGTTACTTTGCCCTCTATTTTTGTCATCTGTTAGGCTTCACCTTTAGAAAAACTTGAGCCTACTTGTAAAAAAAAAAGTAAAACTTTTAACCTACCATTGTTGCAAAGGCTCCCTTAAAAAATGTGCCTTGTCTCACTCGTACCAGTTCAGATAAATTGATAAATAAGAACCAAATTGTATTCAGGTTTTTAATTGTTCTATTCAATGAACTAAGCAATTTGTAATAAATTTAATAGATAATCAATGTTATAAAGGTTTCTTTATAAATAAAAAGTATGTAATTAATTAAATGTACTTTACCTTTATATAGGTATGCAATATGTGTTGCTTAACAGACAATCCCATTTTGACATGATAAATTTATTATATTTTTTAGTGCGTATCCAGGATTTGTTAGAAAGAAATTTTGTCAACTGAAATTTGATCGAGCGTAAATTGGGTTGAATCTTTTTTCAGTTCACACGTTAAAATTTTACGTCAAATTTCTTTTTGAACGCATAATTTTGTTTTCCTATGTAGTATAGTGCGCTCAAAAAGAAATTTGAAGAAAATTTTAATGTGTGAACTGAAAAAAAGATTCGACCGAATTTCCGTTTGATCAAATTTCTGTCGTTCAATTTTCAGGCGATGAAATTTCTTTCAAATACAAACTTCCGGTAACCTTTTTAGTTTTATAATGTTTCATAATTAAGATAACCAGGGCAGTGATTTTAACCTTTTTTTTTAAAATTCTGTGACAGGTTACACAACAAAGGAGTGTATCTTAAAATGGGCTTGCGTAAGATGGTTAATCGTAAAACTTGCAAGGACCTGTATAGAAATATCAAGGTAGAGGTAGATGGCAAGCTCATCGAATTACCCCCAGTAGAGGGCATCATAATTCTCAATATACTCAGGTAACCTCAAAGCCCTAGCATTAATTTTTGTATCAATTCAGTTTTTTCTGGTGTTGTCATTGAGCTTGAAATGGGTAGCTACTTCATCTCTTTTGTTTACATTAACTTTTTGTACAAATTTCATTTAAATTTGAATTTAATTTAAGTGTCAACAATTTACTGCTTACAGAGGCTAAAAGAATCAAAATAAAATAATAAATAATGATAGTTACTACCTCACCAGGGAGAGGGGGAACTAATTTTTCTGCTAGGCAAAAGCATGAATTCCTTGTGTAGAAGTCTCCTTCATTATTCCTTTGTTTTCCTTTTCAGCTGGGGCTCAGGAGCCAATCCTTGGGGCCCAGAAAGAGAGGACCAGTTTAACAAACCCACCCACTATGATGGGAACCTGGAAATTGTGGGGGTTACAGGGGTTGTCCACATGGGACAGATCCATAGTGGCCTCCGCAATGGAATACGTATTGCACAAGGAGGACATGTATGTACTGGTCTATATTAATCTCCTGCATTTTTACCTATCTGACAAAAACATTTTCAAGTTTTTATTGTTTGGTCAGAACTTAAAATACAAGTTTTCTGTTAAATTGTCATGATATATTAAAGCACCTTAAAACTGGCAGTTTTTATTGCAGAATAACACCAAGGATTTTGTACTCTTAGTTCTAAAAAATGGCATGTTACCTCAGGGTCTTACTTAAAGTTTGTATTTTTTTTTTAATTTAAGATGACCTTGTACATCAAGGTCCTGTCACTTTAAGTACAAAAAGTACCATATTTATTTTTCTCCCCGAAAATAGGGGGCAAATCATGTGTGTGTGTTATACGCTAATATAATGTTTAGTTGTTTTTTTCTGAAATTTCCTTCTTAAATTGAGGTGTGTGTTATACGCTGGTGTGTGTTATGTGCCAATAAATACGGTAATTCACAAAAAATGTATTAATTTGAAACCCCGTTATAATGGCATAGTAGTTGTCTATAAAAGGGGTCAAGTTAATAGGATGTGTTATTGCCTGGTTTTTGGCGAATGGCACTGGAAATTTTTGAAGTAAGAAGATGGGATAATTTTTTTTATAACAAACAAGATGTTTTATCTCTTGTGGTTAAATAGGTATATGATGTTGAAGTTGGACTAATACTAATGGATTTGTGATTGTATTGTACGTGGATATATATTTTTACACATACGGGGCTGTTTTTTTTCCACAAATGATTTTAAGAACATTTCAAAATTTTAGGATATATGTGGGTATTGTATCTGAATTCACACAGCAGTGCACATTATAACAGTATTCCACTGTTACATTCAATCACTTCTTAAATAACTTAAAGAAAACTTATATCTTATTAATCCATTCCAGCTACGTATAACATTGTTATGTGACATGCCTGTGCAAGTAGATGGAGAACCTTGGATACAACCTGCTGGACAGGTCATAGTGCTTAGGTCTGCACTTAAGGTCAGTAACTGCTTTTTGTTGAGTGTGCCTGATGATGAAAATAATAAAATTAGTATATTAACTCTTTCCATGCCAGGTAGGTTTCCAAGTTTGTGCCAGGCCAGTTTTTAGCCAGTTGAAATTTTTTAGGGTGCCCTTATTTATTAATGAATTTTGAATAATATTTTTTAGCAAAATAGCTGTATTTCATATCAAGTTAAAGGAAATTAGACAGAAAATAATACTATGTAAACGACAAAACAATATTGCAATAATAGTTTGAAGTTTATTGGTATTATTATGAGATTAAATTTTTATTATTTTTATTTTTAAATGTGCACCAAATCTGAACTTATCAGACAACTATATGGTCTGTGTAGCTGGTATCCTATTCCACTTCAATTCTCAGAAAGTATATCCATTTATTATCAGAATGTGTTTTACATTTTGAGAATATTCCAATTATTGACAGTTATACACATTTTTGTAATGTTAATGTCAACCAATGAAACAGTTTCTTTGCATATGTATATACACACAAATGTCAAACATATTATATACAAAATATTTTATTTTAGTACAAATTTCTTTGTATGTGGTACTTTCTAAAGCACTCCCTAACACTCAGATGAGGCCTTCTTGTGCATCTGATGCACACATAGAAAGTGCGTTTGGTTATTTTGTGCACTGAACAGTAAGCATACTGTCAATCATGTCAGCTTTTTTTCACTGAGCCACTGGTCTGCACTGTTGATGGACTTTTTCCCTGGCTTTGATTGGGTGGGTATTAGGGCAGTGAGTGTTTCAAGGTTCTGGGCTTTAAAAATTTCTACCAGCAGTAGAATCATCCTTTCCTTGAAGTCTACGAAGGAAACTGGTTTTTGATCTACCAGTTGGTCAAGCTTTAGAGAATGTGGCTGTTGACTTGTGCCACTTTAATGATCCAAATGAATATCTTTTTCTACCACTTTATTGTTTTGCGACCATGGCAGCCATAATATGATACTGGTTAACACGATCACAGCCATTCATTGACGTATTCTACTTGTCACTTTTTCAATGTGTTCCACCTTGCCGCATGTTGTCGCCATTAAGCAGGTTTTTTTTTTCTTTTTTGTCCCTCCATGAATCAGCCAGAACATTTTTTTTTCTTAATTTGAATGCCACACTGCCTCTTTGTTTGCCAGTCTGAGCGTTTTAAAATCAGGTTGAAAATACCCGGGTTATATGCTGTGTTCTTGCCAAAGTAGATCAGCAGATTGATGGCATAACCTGTTTATGAGTCACAAATCCTGAATGTTTTGATATGTTACTTTGTAGGCTTTGCCGCATTGAACTGCTTGTGTTTGAAGCGCCCTTTGTATCCAATAACCATTTCATCTATTCTGATGTTTTCATATAGATAAAAACACTTCCTAAACTGATCCAGCAACTTCGACACAAAGGAATCAATGTTAGCCACTCCTTGTTCATCCTTGCACACCATTGTGTGGTAAAGCAGCTGAAATTCATTTCTTGAAAACAGATGTCCATACCATGGTGTGTCTATAGCATTTTGTAGACAATAGCCACTGATGTGGGCCTTAGGTCCATTCCAATATTTATCCGAACAGTCAAGAACTTCAAAAGATCAAGGTGTGCTGCAGTTTTCCATTTATGAAGATTTGAGTTTTATAAAAGGGGGCTACTTTTCTGCATTACTACATTGCTGGAGTAAATTATTAAAGTCTAAATCAAATTCAGAGAAAATACAAAATACTGCCGCACGCATTGTATCGCTTATAAAGAAATCTGACCACATCAACCCAATTCTTAAAGCTCTCCACTGGCATCCTGTGAGTGAGCGCATGGACCACAAAAGTCTGTCCCTGGCGTATAGAAGGCTCTGCACCTGTATAGCTTCTAAAACCGATTTCTAAACATGTATCCAGACAGAACCTGTGCTCTTCAACTGAGTGATTACTGAGAGTTCCCGGTGTGGATGGACACAGAAAGAAGTCATACGAATTGCGATTTTTTGAAGCTATTGCACCTAAATTGTGGGACAGTTTGCCTCAATCTTTTAGGAAATTAAAAAATGATAAAAAGTCATTTAAGACTTTTTTATTTAAATAGATTTTAGGACATCAGAGTGCTGTGAGCATGCTAAAATAGAATGGACACAAGCGCTATAAAAGTACTAAATCATCATCATCACCTTTATTATTTTCTGTATCCTCAGTCACCACTCAGTCACAGACATCCCCTCCTCTATTTCCATCTACTAACCCATCAGTATCAGAAAACTGAAAATTCTGAAATGATTCATTGTTATTGTCCCATGTTTTAGCATCGATAATTCGGAATTAAAGCTCTGTGCTTGACAACCTATGTCGTCTAGCAACACTTGATGTGCTTGGTGTAGACACGGCCATTGCCTGGTTTACAAAAGTTTCAACACAAATCGAAAAAAGTTGCAATTATTAGAAAAACAAATGTAAACACGCCTTACTTCTAACAAGGAGGAAGCAGAAAGAGTTATCGTTCATTTGAGAACAAAAACTACAATAATTATTTCGATGATATATCATCAATTGGCACAAAAGCTCCCAGTCAAATGACGATATATTGTCGATCGGCATGGAAAGAGTTAAAATTGTTATAACTGGATAATGAGTGTTGCAACAAACTTTTTAAAGAATTTAGTCTTGTGTGCTTATCGAGGGAAACAACTGCTTTAAAGCTATATTTTAGCCTTTTGATTCAATCCAATTAATACTACAATGAAATATTCATATTCTTTCCTATAAAATCAGTAGCAAAAAGTTATAAAAGGCAAGTTTGCTTTAAAAAATAAATAAATAAAACATGATGATAAATACGTGTTGAGTGCTTACAAAAATCATTTAGAAAATAAAAATAATTTGTGTAACCAATTTTGTTAAGCTAACATGATTCTGACTAAATTAAACTTCTTTCTCAGTTTAAATATACTTAATTTTATTTGTTTGAAGTTAGCACACACACAAAATAATTGCATATATGGCTAGTAAGCTTTAGTTTATATGGCATAGAACCAAGCATATTCTGGCATCATAGATTTTATTGATTTTTTACTTTGCTTTCCAGGAGTAAGTATAGGGCCTTAAAACTGAAGACTGTTTATGTCCAAACAAATTACTTCATAGCCCATGGTAGTTACTTTAACTATATGTACAGATATTCCCAGGGTTTATGGGTCAAAATAATATTTGAGTAACATTTGCTTTTATTTCCAAAGGCAACCATGTTAAAGAAAAGTAAAAACAAGATCAAGCGGCGTAATACTGAGCCGGGCATCTTCTTCCCAGAAAATGAGCCATTGCAAGCCTCCTCCCCTATTGAAGATTCAAGTGGACCTCTTTAACTGGTAACATTTCATTCTTTTCGAAACGTGTATCTTTTTGATCAGGTCTTGAAAAAATTATTTCAAATGTATAAAAATACACCTGTGCTCTACCTGAAAAGTTTTGAATATTTATTTAAAAGTAGGGAATTTTTTATTTTTTTATATTTTTTGATGAGACACTGCTTATTGCCATTTTGAAAACAGTTTTTAACAGGCTATTAGTTTTACAGTTTATTCCTGTTTCTAACACCAAGATCAGCTGAAATGATACTAGATTAGATTTTAAAAAAGGCTATTAAAAATGTATTTATCTATTTTTAGAACTGTCAAAGCAGGTCTCATTTTTAAACCAGTTTGATTTGAGCCCATGAACTTGTTACTTAACTCCCCGAAAGTTTGCGCTGGTGAAATATTTATTAGCAGTAACCAGATTGTGGTATGGTCAGACAAGCGAGAGTATTACTTAATTTGATACATTATACTAAATGTTTAAATTAATACAGAAATTTAATGATTTTTGTTTTAAAACTTGTTTAACATTTTGTAAAAATCAATTGGTTGAGTTGTTTTTTTTTAACTGATAATCAGAAATCTGATCATTGTTTAACATCCTTAGCTAAAAATCAGTGCGCCCTGAAAATCACTTCTTTTTTTTAATACACTTAATATTATTTCAAATAATACTTCCAGGACTTGACTTGTGTTTCTTATTTCAGGAAATGAGCAGGGAGGTCTTCCCTCTTCTATCTTCTTTGATCTCCCTGCATCCAGCATTGAATGAATTAGAGTAGCAAAGTCACCATCCTTCATCACTCTGTAGGTTCTGCTTTTTGTCAAAGAAAAACAACTAAATTTTAGTAATTCCTCTTCACAAAAGGTACATTACTGATTAAATTGGAGGGGAATCAATGTGTAGATTCAACATAAACTGTTTACCAGATGCACATCAGTGGACAAGGTAACTACTTCATAAATATTCGCCTAATGGAATTATTCCATTTACAACTTCAGTAACCATCACCTGGGACTCAATGGATGCTTAGTTTCAGCTATACCATTTAAACAATGGTACCATCGCCACTGATGTCACATCAGAATAAACATCACGTGCATAATTTTGGCTTTTTTTTTTTTTTCTACTTTATGGTATCAGGTTGAAATTTACCAGCCCTCTTAGTTAATACATCATTCTTCTCAAGATGTCATGTGCTCTTACATTTCACACTTGCCATAGGATGCATAGTTTATGGAAATGTAATGGTTACCTCTTTAACTACAAGGTAAGACATTGTGCATGAGAAGACCACATACTACTAAACACCAGACTGTTTTTTAATAGGAAAAGAGCTTTGTAGATACAGCTTCTTGAAAATGGGATCAACAAAACACTAATTCAACTGCTTATTTCCATACTTCTGAGGAAAAAATCAATCCCTCTGTGACAGACCTGATAGTCAGCAGATGTTGAGAATTTCTTTGAACTTTCAAAAACTTAGTTATTATCTGTGAGTAGACTTGATGATGGCACTAATAAACTGTGATGTTACAACAATTGGTGTTTCTAGCAGTGCAAAAAAAAACATGATATTTGTTTAAATTTAAAAAATAATCACGTAATTATTTATTTTAAATTTAAGGAACTTTTTTTTTTTTT